ACTTACATTTTTATGTTTTCATGGTTTCCTTTTTCTATGATGAATAATTCTGCTATTGCATTCAATATATAAATTTATTTATTGCAGAGACCTTCAAGCCAGTGGACTTGAAGGGCCCATTCCTTCAGGAATTTCTCGTTTGAAGAATTTGGATGACTTGTATGCAAAAGCTTATATTCTTAATTTCTGTATAAATTCTATGAGAGCATCTCAGAAAGCTTAACAAGAATTTTCTGTTAGCAGGCGAATCAGTGACATAGTTGGTAACTCTGGTTTTCCACAGTTGCAAGGTATTGAACAACTGCAATATATGTAAGTTTGGTACTCTTCGTTCTGTAACTTTTAATGTGTATCTCAATGATATTTATTGGTGTCAATATATTGATTTCTTGTGTAGGACATTGAGGAACTGTGGTATATCTGGAGAGATCCCCAAATTTATGTACCAGTTTGTAAATCTCAGACGGCTGTAAGTAAAAAAGCCTGAAATTTTGTAAAAGTTATGTCTCAATTGTTTTGCTTGATCTTCCTCTAACTCTTGAGAACGGCATGTGATTTCATCATGTTTGAGTGTCTATTAGTAGACTACAATTGTTGTCATTAATTCTTAGCTATTGGTACTTCAAATCAAGAACCAAACTATTACTCGTACACAACTTGAAAGGCTAACTTCTTTTAAGAGAGAAGAAACAAAATGATCACAACTACTTGTGAGGGACCATTGCTGTCCCAAACTAAGTAAACTGCCTGATCTAGTCCCCATATGTTTTAAACAGGGACTAAAATAGTCCCGTTGTACAAATTAATGAAAACTAAAATTAATAATTTTAATGATGAGAGTATTTCTGTGAAGCATATTATCCTTTTGAATTATTTAATAAATCTAATTTTATACTTGATGCGTAGTGGAATGACCGCGGCGATAGTCATCAATTTAACGTCTTAGTGTTGAACGAAAACCCACCTACGCTTAGGTACTTAAGGAGAGAAGTATGTACGAGGAAACACTTTGATTTTTTACATAAAAACCTTGAAAATGTGAAAAATCTGTGAGGCTTAGCCCAGTTGAAATAATTCACTATGAATGATGAG